GTTAGAGAGTGAGATTGTGTGTGTGTGAAAGAGAGGAAGCCATAGTTGAATTTGAATGTGAGAAATCAGAAACACATTACATTACATTGCATTTAGCTGACACTTTTATCCTAAGCGACTTACAATAAGTGCATTCGACCAGGAAGATACAAACTTGAAGAAAACAGAATCATATAAGTACATCAGGTTGCATACATAGAGCCAAAACATTTCAGGTGCTACTCAACTAGCTTTAGATAAGCCAGTCCTTTATTAGTATATAAGTGCTTTGTTAGTTGTAAAGGAAACTTCTGCAGCAATGGAGAGTCAGGACTCAGAGAGACACGAGGAGAGTTGGAGCTTTGATGTCAAACACTGATAGTTTATTACAAGTATCGGCCGGAGAATTCATATCACAAGTCACAGCAGCCAGAGGTTCTGACTGCACGGGTGGGTTGCCATATCAATTCTGATCAGCCTCTCTCTCGATAGCCCTTTGAACTAGTTTACAGAGAGTTAATCAACAGCCGGGAACACTGGAGATATCTCCAACATCTGGAGACACTGAATCACTTGCCTGACTCTTAGGCTCTGTGACCAAGAGTTGACCGGTCATAAAACTGAGAATAAGTGCAGCAGCACATTCTTTAAAGGAGATAACAGAGTCAGGGTTGGTTATTAACATCAACAGGCAATAAGGTTAAATATCTTAGGAGTAAGGAAGAATTATTCTCTGACATTAGTAATTCTATCGCTCGAAGTGGAGTCGAAAGAGATGAGTTTTCAGTCTGCGCCGGAAGGTGTGTAAGCTATCTGCTGTCCTGATGTCAATGGGGAGCTCATTCCACCATTTTGGAGCCAGGACAGCAAACCCACGTGTTTTTGCTGATGGGAACTTGGGTCCCCCTCGCAGCGAGGGTGCAGCGAGTCGTTTGGTTGATGCAGAGCAGAGTGCACGTGTTGGGGTGTATGGTTTAACCATGTCTTGGATGTAGGAAGGGCCAGATCCATTCGCAGCATGGTACGCAAGTACCAGTGTCTTGAAGTGGATTCTAGCAGTTACTGGAAGCCAGTGAAGTGACGTGAGCGGAGGAGCGGTGTGGTGTGGGAAAGAAAACACAAAAAAAGAGTGAAATGTGTGTGTTTCTATGTTGTAACATTTATAACATGTGAGAGGAACAGTTTCTTCCCATCCGCTACAGGCCTCTTAAACAAGGCCCGGCCCCCCCACTGACACTTACCTCAGCCACAACGTAGTCTCTATATGCATTACATTAATGCACACAATGTTCATACTGCTTACTGCACATATTTCATATTTCATATTTTATATCCTATAATTCATTCATAGCATTCTATTTCCATGTAAATTACTGCTTGATTTTATTGCTATTTAAAGGTGGGGTAGGTAATTTTGGAGAAACCAGCTCGAGTGCGCTAGAATTTGAAAATACACAGCCGGAAGAAATCTGCCACTTCCTCACAGAGCCCCTCCTCCAACACACAGGAACGCGCACATGACCAATGAGGGCACGAGATAAGTTTGTGCACAGATGGAAGGCTGACAGGCAGGTAGGCCATCCAGTTATTTTAGCCGGGCCGGCTAAAATGATTGGTCGTGCTTTTTACAGTATTACGGCTTCCACGGATGACATTTTAGTATGGATTTTTTGTCAAAGCACTTCAGATATTCATTGCTATCGGGATGTTAAGAGCATTCCATGGAATATAACAAAAAGTGTATCTAGAGCCGGTTTCTCAAACTTACCTACCCCACCTTTAACTATATTTTATTGCGGTGTCCTTAAAGATTTTTTGTTTTATATTAGATTTCTTGTTTTATATTTGATGTCTGCACCATGACATCAAGTCAAATTCCTCGTATGTGTGAACCTACCTGGCAATAAACCTGTTTCTGATTCTGAGGTGATAAGAAGAATAGACTTTATTAATACCAACTGGGGGAATTCAGTTTTCACTCGGTTAGTACACAGTACACCTGAAATACCCACATGCGATACACTTGACATAAAGTATATAAAACACACCTGATTTACACAAAGCACAAACGTGACCTATATATAATAGCCAGAAATACGAACATGCACCAACACATGCATTTTATGTAGAAGTGTAAGAACAAAGGGGCTGCCATGTTTCAGCGCCCAGTTGTGGGTTCGGTGTCTTGCCTAAGGACACTTTGGCAGAGCAAAGGAGGTCTACTGTAACCTCTCCTGCTACCAGTCCACACAATGTGTTTAGCTAAACAAAGGATTCTCAAAGATAAGCTGTCACAATTCATCTTATCAGACTATAGTGCAACTTCCAGCTAAATCTGTTTGTGGTTATTCATTCATTACTTAACACAAAAAGTCAACTCAGTGTGCAAATTTGCTGCAATTACTGTGATTTCTGACATGAGCTAATCCGCTCTTCGGCTCATTTGGTTAATATGTGATGTTAGATATGATGCACTTCTTAGTGCGTTAATGTGCACAGTGGTGGTGAGTCACCAGCAGGATTCATTCAGTATTACCTGGATTGCTTTGCTCTCTGCTGGGGGACAGCAACTGTGTTTTTGTACCTGAGAGGAGTAAATAAATGAAGAGGCGTCACTCTGCTGCTGTTTCCCCGGAACCATAAACACCACTGAAGCCTGTTATAACTTCCTCATCTATGTAAACCAAGGGTGGAAGTACATTTACTCACTGTACTTAATGACACGTTTAGTCTCTAAACGTGTCATTAAGTACATGTGTCTAACTACTTTAGAAACATTGCTGTTTTACTTCTCAGAAGTATTTGATGGCGCTTTGACCACCAAAAGCTGAGTGTCATAGTTCCGTTACATTGGAGAGAAGGCAGACATGTTTACGGCTGATATCGCGAACACCCTGCAACAAACACCCAAAACATCTTGACATTGAAATAGCATTACATGTAACGGGAAATATATTTATTTTAGATTTTGAGGTGAACTGTGCCTTTAACACTGAATATGAATTGCATTTTTGAGTTTTCGACTGAATTTCAAGGAGCTTCAGATTAATTTAACCCTCAGTCTTAAATCCCCTACTAAGGATTGGAAGACCCTAAAATGCAGTTAAAAGCTCTGAAGAAAATTGTAAGAGCTGCCAGTTGAGACATTTTAGTGCAATGTGGACAGGTATTAAGAATATCAACGGTCAATTATTCACTTTGTTACATACCTTCAAGTTCAGAACGTTTTTTATAAATGTTTTCATTTTGAAAGAAATAACAAATCAAAGTTTTAGTTGCATTACTGTGAAGATGAAACTTCATCAATCTTCACGCCTTGGCTGTGAATTTTCACACAGATCTCACTGTCCTTTTTTTCTCATATTCAAATGATCTTCACATCGCTGCAGCCAAACGGAGTTAGATTTCCTAAAACAACTGACTTTTACAACAACAGTTTAAAATAGATAAATGCAAGTGGACTGATATTGGAGGAATTTGAATTTGACTCAGAAAGCATTCCTGAGAAACAGGATCCTGACAGTAATGTACATGCTGCACATTTTACAACATGGGTGCCTATTTATAGTGCACAGGGTATATGAGGTCAGTTAGGCCCGAACTGACCTCATATACTGACCCTAACTGTTAGTGTATACCAAGCATGTATGCTAGTTGTGTAGACATGGACGCAAAGCATTATTTACATTGTAAATATGTATTAGCATTCTGATTGTTTTTTGTTCAACATATAACAGGACATGCTTTGATTTAATGTTTTAGTTCAAATGTGTAAAGTTGCCTTACCTTTACCAAACACGCTGGCAGTATACAAGCACAATCCTTAAAAGACAGTAGCATAACTGTTATCACACTGTAATCACAGTGCAAATTAAAGTGCACTAGAAAAACACAGCATGTTGCTTTCAAAGTGGATAAAAGGAGCCCTATTATGCTCAGATTCAGGCTCATATATTTGTATTTTGTTCCTCTACTGTGACATGTTTCCACGCCTAATGTTCAGAAAGGTCTTTCATTTTCTCATACTGGCTGTGCTGCAGCAGCTTTTTTCACCCTCTGCCCCTAATCATATCACTTACAATGTGTTAGAGCGCTAGCCTATTGGACTCACTCTGGATCATTTACATGCATACAAACACACACTATAGGAAAGGACAAAACCAAAGAGCATAATACAGCCCCTTTAGGTTTGCAGATTAAGTCAAGTTTTCTCTGAATATTGTTGCACATTTTAATTTTGTAACACAGTGATTCACAAGCTAATTGTTATGTACAGTGACTGACTTTCTTAGTCGTCAATAAATGTTCCAGTTTGAGAAGCCTCAGAGGCTTGAGTTGTTTTTTTTCAGCGTGCTGGTTTTGGCTGCACATGAAGTAAACAGAATGCAGACATACGGGGTAATGGCACGGCAGTGTTCAAATTAGAGGCTACAGATGGAACATGCATACCAACCTCCAGTTGGCTCCAGACATTTAATCAGTTGAAGGAGAAAGCTTGTATACAGAGTAAAAATAGTGGTGGATAATCATCCATTTATCTTGAGCTCAGCAGAGACATATCTAGCATTCTTGATGTAGCTGCATTAAAGTTATGATTATTGTGCGTATATTCAGCACAATTTCAATAAGTTCATCAAACAAATCTTTACTCGCTGTCACATCTGCAGGAAATTCCCATCTCTCTATGTTTTGTTGTGAAATAAATATATCATGGTTAGACGCATTTCACTTTTTGATGATATTTTCTGTAGATTAGGGTTACTCCTCTATTATGTCTGTTTTGCTATTTTCAATTCATTTATCAAATATAGCATTTTGGTAATTAATTCTTAGAAATCTGTACAAAAACAACAATATAGCCTACTGTGGTCTCAAATATATTACTGAGGATATGACCTCAGGTTGGCATGTCTCTAAAAAGCTTTACTTGGTCCATCTTTGCTTTAGACGATCTTTGTTTCACAATTTAATTTGGTTGGTGCATGCGCAGCCGCAACCTCCACTCCCCCCTGCGTTGGATGAGCGCTGACAGCAGGCTGGCCGGAGACCGTCAGCAGCCGCTGTTGTTGCCACTTCCACTCCACGTTGTGAGACCGGATACAAACTGACACAAGTACGGTAATTCATTTCTGTAACGGACAACAAAAAGTGTTTTCTGAAAGCTTTTGGACACACTGAGCGCCGAGCCTACTCCTCCTCCTCCTCCTCATATTCCCGGTGCTGAGCGGACTGTCAGTGAAGGTAAGTGTCCGCTTTTTGTGACAGTTTACGGTGCGGAGGGAGAGAGGGATGCACCGGTGTGCTGCTGCCGTGTTGACCGTCCCGCACGGCTCGGTTAACTTCAGCCTCCATGTGTGTTAGCTCTATTCGCGTGTTTAAATGTGTGGTTTTACTGAAGTCCGCTCTTGTTAAGGATATGAACACAAAAAGGCAAGTTTTCAAAGGGCTGCATCTCGACCGTGCAACCCGCGTGGAGCTGATCGTCCTGCACGCGGCTTTTTAACATTTAAATAAATACCTTACCGATTAGATATACTTTATTGTTTGCAAATTGGAGATTTCTTTCCGTCACAGCAGCATGCAAGTAAGACATTGCACATGAATTAAAAGTGAAATAATGATAATAACATAAAATACAATAAAAAAAAAAACAGTAAAGATATATCAGCAGAAACAAAACAGGCGAACAAAACCGTGAGTAGTCGATAATGAAAGATATATCTATACAGTATATCTATTGAATACACCAAATAAATATACACATATACAGGATTGTACATTATGATCACAACATCACAAAATATGCTATTACAGGTAGCCCAACAGATATCCAAATTAATTTCCCACAGTTTTTATGTTAAGTGCACTTGATTGTTTGTAGCCCCTGTGACTCTGTAACTATTATCATGCACAAAGACCTATAACACACTACAGGAAAGGGAAACCACACGAAAACAACCAATCTGACTGAACCTGGTTGCTGTAACTGTGAGGAGTTGCTTTCTCTGTAATAGGATTTGTACAGCTGTGTACATTTCATTCACACTCTGCCACTTTTATTTTTTCTTTCTTTTGATGTTTTTCACAGATGTGAATGGAAACCATGTTATTTTCTCGGCCCTGGCTTGTATTAAAATAGTCCAAAAATGATACTGCTGTATCATCTACTTAAATTTCAGTTCGGATGCTTTTAACTTTTTACATGAAGGTTAAATGAAAGCAACTCTCAAGACGGTTGGTTAGTTAACAAAAAGGCAGCATGGTCCAAGAGAGATTGTCCCATAACATAATGTGTCCCCTGGTGTAGTGTCATCAAGACCCTCACACGGTCCCACCCCCATCTGCTTAATGAGTGAAAGTATTTCATATTTTGAACCTCATAAACACTGAACAGTCCAACCTCCAGTGGGAGCCCGGTGTGCTCGGTAAGCAGTCCTAGCCCCCAGATCCGGAGCAGGTGGCTCCTCTGAGGCCGAGGAATGGAAATGGAAACGGTAACCAGAGCCTAATGTTCGTCGGCGGGTAGCCTCGGGACCGGCTTTAGCTAAAAGTGTTGACGAGGATGCAGGACGAGCACTTGGTAATAAGGATCAAGTGTGTGTGTGACATTTTCTTTTCAATTAGAGTTGTCCTGTCCGGTGTGTAAGGAATACACCAATGTTTTCTTAACAGTAAATCCTCAGCAAAGATGCTGACAGAGGGTCGTACCAGCGTGTTGAAGCTCAAAGTCAGATGAAGCTGCTCAACCCTTTCTGTTGATCAAAGTAGCTAAATGAGCCTACTTATCACCATCTGGAACATTAGCTACTTTAAAGAGCCTGTGACACGAGTTTCCCCCATCATCCAAACCCATACATTTGAGTAAATATTGTCCCCTTGAAAACCGTTACTGAACTGATTTTGGATATTTGTACTTTGATAACCATTAATCTGCCCTTCAATGTTGACCATTTCCTGGATCTGCTCGGGGATTCTTCAAGTTCCGCCAAATTACGTGTGACGTCATTGCGGGCACAGCGCTCCAGCTGCACCGTTCAGGATCCCAGCATCTGCATGTAAACGCACGATGGCGCTCACAGCAGCACATCCGTGCATCTTATCCATTAATTTCCCCAACATTGTGGTGAAAAAACACACGTTTAATCCATGTTGGTGTACTACAACTACAAAAAGCATCGGTTTGTTTTCTCATCAGGAAATGCAGACCGGCTCAAACAAACGATCATTTAATGTATCATATGTTCGCCGAATTGACATGAAAGCACTAATAAATGTAGTTTCATCCACTTGAGTTTACAACTACAAAAATAATCGATTTGTTTTTATATCACATCCTACGGGAGGAAATTCAGCAGCTCTCACTACCGATTTGTAATCCTAATGTAATCATCATCTTCACCACGATCATTTATGTTTATGTTCACCGAATTGACATGAAAGCACTGACAAATATGAATATACTGTAGTCAACTTCATTAAAACGTTATTAACGTGCCTAAACTCAGTAATTCACCATTTCTACGCATGACAACACACTTTGTCCGTGTTTGGCTCTCTCGCCGCACAGTGAAGCGTTCCCGCATTGACGTCACTTCCGGCTTCCCCCAAAACTTCAAAATGAGTCGAAGGAATTTCCCCGCGATGTTCGAAATGATTGATATTTAACGGAACGGTATCGCACCTTCTTTTTTAAGCTGACGGTTCGAGATTACTAGTAGCCCAATATTTCATTGCACAACAGTTGTTGGGATGCTGTCACAGGCTCTTTAAGCTTAACGCGAAGCCTTGTGACCGTGATAGTTTGTTTATAGCCTAACGTTGGCTTCTTACTTCTGCCGGTTGCATCTGAAGCTTTATGGGTTTTCAAAAGGCAATTTCTTAAACGTTTGTTTTCCAAAGATTGTATTGTACAGAAAATACTTGTCTGCAATATTTACAAATCCTATTAAAAAAAAAATCCCATTGCATTTTGCCAAGGGAGCCCTGTGTAGTTGCAATATAATAATTGAATTGATCGAAATGTTGACATGCCTTGTCTTTTTATGATTGCATCATTTGTTTGTATTCATAATTGTTAACGTTTTGTGCATCAAGTTCGAAATGTGATGGATTATATGCTTTTGTAGATTTCTGGATATTTTATTGTGTCGTAGATAGAGGACAGGAATTCAACCCCTATAAACATTGTGGCATTGATTACTGATGCCGATGGGAAATATGAGATAGCATTTGATGTCCAGAGCAGGTAATTGTAATTCCGATAACTGCAGCACCAGAACAAATACTTGATGATTCATCTATTTGTCAGTAGACAGAAAATGACTCAACAGTTATTTGGATCATTTTAAATTGTAGGATGACAGATGTTCCCCAGCTGTGAGGTTGGAAACCAATAACAGATGGACGATGAAAACTTAATTTCATCACCATGATAATATGATCTTGCATGTGGTACATAATAACACTTTATAAAACGGACAAGTCTAATCAAGCAATCTCATTGGTTCTTAGCCGTGATATAATGAGCGTATATCACGGGTAGAATTGTAGTTACTTTTCACAAGTCAGTATCCCTCCGCGTCTGAGAAAAGCTACAACCGTTACAGCTGTTACATTACGTCCGTTACGAAACTAACTAACTTACAAAGCTTAAGATGGAAACATTTAAGGTTAACTTCGACCTCCGGGGGGGTCTTACTACGGAGGAGTGGATTGAGGAGTGCCTATCTCCAGAAAGAAAAAGCACCTAAACGACGACATGCAGAGCTACGTGAAGAGCAGGTAGACCAACTGGAGAAGTACCACCATTCAAAAGCTTTCTGATGCGTGTCTTGAAACAAAGCAGAGACATTATGACCGTTAGTGGCCACAGGTGCGAAAGCTCTCTCCAGAGCTACTGGAAGCCGAATCTCGGGGACCGGAGAAAGTGGAGCAATATTCTGACCACGCCAAGCAACAGCCAGAACAACCTCAACCTATGCAAGTAACCACGTAAGCCATGCTACTGATGCTGGACAGTTTTTCAGTGGGTGCATCATAAACGACAACATACAAATGAATGTAAATAAATAGCCAAATAATGGATCAACGCTCTCTGTCTAATATGTTGGCGTCGGGCCGAACCACGCCCCTTAGCTGTGATAATGAGCATATATCACGGCCTGTCGTGAGCATTGCTTAATTATATCGGTTTACATACCTTTTTTTTTAGTATTGATTAGGCTATTGCATAAAGATATAAGGCCATTTTTCATTGTAGAGTTACATCTTTGAAACACTTCTGGATTTATGAAGTTGACCTGAAATTGGCCTGAAAACAACCCGAGTCCCCACTTTGTCATTCTACAACATGTCCGCTGGAGCTTCATCACCCCCCCATGATATCTTGAGGTCTTTGATAATCGCTGTTGCTGCTCTTCAATCTTAATGATGAGAAATAAGTATTCTCCAAATAGTTTCTGTCCTTTTAGCATGAAGACCCAAACACATTTAGACGATGATGTGAAAGTCAAACCCACCATGGTAACCAGACTTATGCGCTGCATGTAAATGGTCTGCAGAGGCTCAAATCTCAAAGTCCATGCCAGAGGGAGTTTCTGTCCCTCACTGCCATATTTGAACTAAGAAACAAACAGGAACAAACTGTTTGTTAATAAAACGATAAGTAAAACAACAGAACAATTAAAATACAATATTTAAATAATACATTAAGGTTTAAATCAATTACCCAAAACTAATGGCAAATGTGTTCTGATTCTAGCTTCTCAACGGTTAGGGTTTGCTGATATCTTTTGATTTATTTATGATTTTCAATAGAATATATTTGAGTTTCAGTCTTTTTTAGCTGTCCAAACTGTGTTGACCAAAGAGGTTTGACATGGCTGAGACTGAATAAATATGTGTGGCCTCTATCATTATTTAGTTTTGAATATAATCATCTCATGCATCAGACACAGGATTAAGACCATTGTGTTCCACGGACTGTGAGTTCCAATACCAGTTCTGCTGTACCATTAAGTATGCTAGGGAAATAATCATTGTATGACAAAAGCAGTATTCCAAAGAACACCTGCATCCCATACTGCATCCGGCATCCTTTTGATTTATTTCTGTCTCATTTTGGCATGACCTTACAACAACATTTACATATAGTGGTGTAAAAACCTGGGAAATATCGACCACATATAACATCGCACCCACATTAATTATGAGTGGATATAAATATTTAGTGATAGCCGCAT